TCTTTCCCTTCCAAAAGGTCTTTTTCCTTTGGAAATGAGAATACCAAATTTGATTCCTAAATGATATATCATAAAATTCAAAGTGGATTCAAATTTGAATTAATACACTTGCATGTATGTATCAATTAAATTAATCTAATTATAATTTGCTATCGTAACATCTGAATTATAGTTCATTTCATACTCACTTTTTTATTACTCGTTGTATATAGTTTGGTGGGTGGAGAGCCTCCCCTTAAGAGCATGTCCAACGCTTGGGCCTAGCCTGGGCAAAAGGCAACCCCAAGCTCCAAAACCACCTCCAGCGCACAAGGTTCAGCCCTAGCAAGAGCTGGGTCCCATGAGCCCAAGCAAGCTCACAGGCAGATTCAGCCCAAGCTGCTGCCTGTGCAGAATGATGTAATGTTGATGTCATAATGACGTCAGCAAATAAAAAAAAGGGAAAAGATTGAAAAAAAATACAAAAAAATTCAGATTTTTTTTTAATAAATACCTAACCATATTTTTCACTTCCCACACTAAAAACTATATACAAATTCATCTTTTCATATCTCATGTGAATAGTATTTGCCCTTACCCTAGTCTTTTGGGGTGAAACCAAAAAAGCAAGGCTGCCACTATTCACGTGAATAGTGACAGCCCTTGTCTTGCCTTAGCCTTTTGGAGTGGACTTGCTCTAAGAGCAACTCCACCCATTTGTCCTTTGCCATAACAAATGAGGGGCTAGGGTAGCTACTATTTACGTGAATAGTGGCTACCCTTGCAAAAAGCAAAATGTGTTTCCACCCATTGTTATGACAACAACTATTCACATGAGATATGATGAGAGAAATTTGTATAGAGTTTTGATGTGGGAAGTGAAAAATATGACTAAGTATTTATTTTAAAAAAATTCTGAAAATTCTAGTATTTTTTTAGATTTTTAAATTTTTTTTGGGTTGCTGACGTCAGCAAACCCGGACTTGTGCAAAGGCTGGTTTTGCCTGAGGGCCAGCCCAGGTTTGTAGGCCCCACACCCAGCCCGGACAAAAGTAGCCCCCTGGAACGCCATTTTTTGTCTTGGGCCTCCCCTTGCTCCAGCCCGGGCGCAACGGTGGAGTTGGTCTATAACAGAAATTACGTTATGCTTTCATTGAGAAGCACGCTGGCGTTCCACATGGAGTTGTATATGGCACACTAAAAGTTGGCGTTTTGCTTGAGTTCCATGAGTTTCTTTTACACTTCACTTTCCATCATTCAAGTGGGCGAGCTTGTTTGCCGCAGCTTCCAGTTTTGAGTACAAAAAGTGGTCAAAAGATTTTCCAAAATCAATGGTTCTAAAAGATATTTTTTATAGTTATTGTTTGAGTTGTCCGTGATTCTCTCAAGATCAATTCAACATGTTGTTGTGTTTGGTTACTAGAAAAGTTTCTCTATATTCGGTGCATATATAATTGCTTTGTACTTTTGTTTGTTTATTAATAATACTATCACTTATTTCAAAAAATAAATAAATAAATTTAAGGAATAAAATATTATTTTATCCCTAAGTCCATGATCAATATAAACATTTAACATTATCCATAAATCCCACAGAAGACAAAAGGAAAAGGTGAAAGTAGCATATCATTGATAGATGTAGTAGTTAAAACTTAAAGGGTGTGGTGTTTATCGAAATTTACACGTGTTGAAAAACACTACCATGACAAAATCAAAATATATATGGTTGTGTTGTGGGTGGTCCTAAGCCTAACTTGAGCTCCATTGGACAATGAATGCATGCTAAAGAGGAGTTCACATCCACCTAACTAAAAGTAGAAATGATAGAGCAATACAAAAGATGAACAAAGAAGACTTAACTGCAACTTGGTATTTCATTAGGATTTTAATTTTGAAAGAAGACTACTTTTAAAAAAAAAAAAATTGCAATTAGATACTTTGTAATTAGAAGAAAAAAAAAAACCACAATTTGTTTTCACATTTGAACGAGTTTCTTGACTTTTCAATATATTTAGGCCTCGTTTGGTTCATGGGTAGAATTTGATGGGAAATCATTTACCAAAGGATGAGAAATGGAAATTTCATTTCCTATATTTGGCAATGCTGGGAAAGTAGCCAGGAAAATACTACTTTATTTTCTTTCCCATATTTTGTTTGTGTAGGAATGTAAACAAAATTTGTTTAATTTTCCATATATATATATATATGTTAAAAAAATGAAGTGAATAAAATAAAAAATCATTTAATGCTATATTGTAAATCTAAAATTGTTAATGTGGATAAAATTGTCATGAAAAATATATATTTAATGATGCCCTAGTTTCCGGGAAAATGAAATCCAAGGGGGATGAAGTGTTTCATTTTCTCCCTTATTTTCCCATTTGCTAGGCAACCATTAATTCCCTGGCTGCATTTACCAAACATGAGAAATCATTCCAAGTCCCATTTTTCATGAACCAAATGCAGCTAAAGTTTATAGAAAGACGACTCATTACATCTTCTCTTTAAAAAAAATAATTTACATTTATATGTTAATTTGAACTTAGGCTTCTTATAAGTTATCATTTTAGCTTTCTTGTCAAATGTATGTTTGTAGGAGGTAGCTAGTGATCAATATGCATAATTTATTTTAGTGAAAGCATGACTTCGATCCTACTAAAGTGTACATTTAAAAAAAAAAAAAAAAACTTAATTAAACATTTTTTACAATTTTTAATTAACTTAATTTAAAGGAGAGAAAGGTCTATTATATTTAATTGTACTAATTTTCTTTGTTCCAAAAGGAGTGAACATGAGGTAGGCTTATAAATTATAACTGTACACATCATGAAGCACATGCCTAGTTGACTCATCCTCCCCTATCTCCCCTCTCTATAAATATTGCCTTGGTTTAGACTCTGAGATCATCACTTCAATAACATTTAAGAGAGAGAGAGAGAGAGAGAGAGAGAGAGAGAGACATGAAGTGCATAAAGAGGTCCAATTCCATCATCATCTTGGTTCCCTATCCAGCACAAGGACATGTCACTCCCATGCTTAAATTAGCCTCAGCCTTCCTCAGCCATGGCTTCAAGCCAGTGCTGGTCACACCAGACCACATTCACAACCAGATAGTCCCAAAGGTTGAACAAAACGACAAGATTTTGTGCATGCCAATCCCAGATGGACTGGACAACGACGCCCCAAGGGACTTCTTTGCCATTGAGAAGGCCATGGAGAACACCATGCCAGGCCATCTGGAGAGCCTTGTTAATCAACTTGATCATCAGGATGGTGAACAAGTGGTGTGTATAGTTGCTGATTTGTTGGCTTCGTGGGCCATAGATGTAGCCAATCGCTGTGGGGTAGCCTCTGCTGGGTTTTGGCCTGCGATGCTTGCCACATATCGCTTGATCACTGCCATACCAGATATGGTGAGGACAGGTCTCATTTCTGATACAGGTTAGTTTTTGCTGATATATTTATATTTAGTGTGCATGATATCATCTTGAGTGATCATTTGCCTTTTTAGTTTGTCATCTTTGGTGTTCTTTTTTTTTTTTTGGGTTCTTTTTTTAATAGAAGCAATAGTTTAAATAATTCTAATTTACGAAAAAGGGAGTTTGGATTTGGGTGGCTGGCTCCCGACCCTAATTAACTGTCATAACCCACATGTCCATCCCTTTTTGATGTTTTCGATCAATGTCTTCAAGTTTTGCATTTTTCTAAGAAAAATAATATTTTTATTTGTGTCACTTGATTATATTTTGTCAATAATACATATAATTTTATTATAAATGAAACTATTCATATCACATTTATTGATTACATTTTATAGTTATTTAATCAAATTTAGTATTATTCTGAATAGAAATAGGCTGGGGTATGCTTGAATTAAACATACATGCCATATAAATATAAATATATATATATATTAATTATATAATATATTGAAGTAAGCAAGTTTGGACAAGTGATGTTGATCAAAAATGATACCTAGTCTTCCCATAATGTTGTAATTAAAGCTGTAAATTATTGATGATAAAAATTTGTTAGACTTAATATTTTATATATTGTGAGTTTAGTATATAAAATTTCCACTAGATCATATTTTTTATAGCAGAAAATGTCTCATGAGTTCTAGTATTGTAGTTTGGTTGACTGCGGTGAACAAAAAAATATCAATTTGTCAATGGAAGTTCACATGAGAAGGGGATGGGACTTGAATACATTACTGATCCAGGCATGAAAACTTCATTACTTGGTTGGGCATGACATTATTGTAGTTTTAAGTAACCAGGCACGTGCCATACATTAAACTAAGCTAATTAACTTTGTTATTGTTAATTAAACTTGATTAGTATAAAGGCTAACAAAATCATGACTTTAATTAACAGAATCACATAAGTGAATTGTTAATTAGTCTGATTAGATTAGAAGTCATATTCACTTATGCCATTAGTTATCACATCCATTTATCCATACGAGTTGGACCTTAAAGTAATGTGTTCAGTAAATGTGATAACGGAATTATGTGATATTATTATATTTGTAGGATTTCCAAAGCAACTTGGTGGTATATGCTTACCTAATCAACCTATGCTCTCTAGTGAAGATCTTCCCTGGTTGATTGGCACCCCAGCTTCAAGAAAAGCAAGATTCAAATTTTGGAAAAGAACCTTGGATCGATCAAAAACTCTTCCATGGCTCCTTGTAAATTCTTTTCCAAATGAATATTGCACCAATGGTGAACAACAACTTGATCATCATCAATTGGTCAAGATGAACACTCAAGCCCAACAACCACTGGTTTTCCCAATCGGTCCTCTGAGCAAGCACACAACAATCAAGAACCCTAGCTTTTGGGAAGAAGACACAAGCTGCTTAACTTGGCTAGACAAGCAAAACCCTAACAGTGTAACTTACATCTCTTTTGGAAGTTGGGTAAGCCCCATTGGAGAGGCTAAGGTGAGAAGCTTGGCATTGGCACTTGAAGCTTTGGGGAAGCCATTCCTTTGGGTGCTTGGGTCTTCATGGCTTGGAGGGCTACCAAATGGGTACTTAGAGAGAGTGTCAAGGCAAGGCAAAGTTGTTTCATGGGCCCCACAAATGCAGGTCCTGCAACACAAAGCTGTTGGGTTTTATCTCACACATTGTGGCTGGAACTCAACAATGGAGGCCATCCAGTGCCAAAAACCCCTCTTGTGCTATCCAGTGGCTGGGGACCAATTTGTAAATTGTGCCTATATTGTCAAAGTTTGGAGAATTGGGGTGAAATTAATTGGGTTTGGGCAAAAGGATGTGGAGGAAGGATTGAAAAAGGTGGTGGAGGATGCTGAGATGAGCAACAGGTTGAGGAAGCTAAATGAAAGGACCATGGGGGATGAGGCTAATTTGAGAGTTATGGCTAATCTCTCTGCCTTCATTGATGATCAGCTTAAGATATTAACACTAGGGTTTTCCTCTAATGGTGTTCATGATTATGATTTATAGCTTAATATATTTTGTTAATTATGTAATTTAATATGTAAAGAGAGAGTATAAATCAATACTTAGTAGTGGAATTCCTTCATAACACATTGATTTTTTGTTGTTGGGAAATTCTAGGATTGCATTCATAGTTCAGTTAAAAAAGTCACTAGTCACAAAGGGTCAATACAAACTAGCCACAAAGGGCCATTACAATAACAGAGCAGTTTGACATCAAAATTAAGACAATTTAGTGCACCTCCACTAACGATCACACAAGATCGAAGAAATTCTGGCATAGACATCCCAAATAAGATTGCAAACTCATAATAATAAAAAAGAGATAAAGCTTGAAAAAAAAAAAATCAAGCATAACAATACAAATAAAACTCTCACAAAGGAGAAGTGAAAAGCTCTCACAAAAATAGAGGAGAAATCTACACAAAAAACCCAAAGATCTGTGATTAAGAATTGGTTTATATAATTTATAAATGTACTAAACTGACCTGTACCAGCTCACCTACGCCTGGTTCATATCCTTTTCAAATAGATAAACTATCTAAAATTAGTTAATTGTTTTGAGTGTCGTGTGCTAATACAACTTACATGTCGGCAAGTTGGTCATTTGGAACAAGAATACGATAGGTGTGAACTTAAACGATTTTAGGTATGAAATCTTGGTTGTTGACTCTTAGAACTTCTTAATTAATTACATGATTACTATTTTATCTTAGTCGACAGTCCGAAAAAGAAAAAAAAATACACAGCAGAGGACTTATTGAGAACCTAGTTATAAATTCGCGTATAATACTTGTATTATATAAGTAAAAATATTTATTTTTTTGCTTTTACTTCTAAAAAATACGGTATAGTACATGTTTAAAAAAATCAAATCTTAGATTTTAATTATGTTATTAAACTGATTTGATTGAAAAAAGGGCATAATTTATACTAGACGATATAGTTGATATATCATAGACACCACTTGGTGGTGTTATAAATGATTATAGTAAGTTTTTTGTTAAGTATATACTAATTTTTCTTAATAATTATATATGAATGTTATAATATGAATCGATTGATAAAAACACGTGATGATTTTATAAATGGTTATAGTATTAATATATCATGTACACTTGTTATAACATGTATATTAATTAATAACATCACACATTGTCTTAAGAAAATTACATCACATGCTAATGTGACTATCTTACTCAAATACTTTTCCCATTCAAGTGTCAATTAATTACAAGTAATCTATAGAAATGTTTTTGGGTTAATTTCAAACTCTCACTCTTAAGGCATATTTATCGTTACGTTCTCAATTTTACCAATTGTGTACTCTTAAGGCATATGTGTCGTTTCAATATCAATTGAAGGGTATTTTCAGGCAATTGGTGTATTCCGCAAATACTTTTGTTAAAAAACTATGACACATTTTCTCCAAGTTTGGGTGGGAAGACACCAATTGTTTGAAAATACCCTTAAATTGACATCGAAATAAGCGAATAAGTGATACCTAGTCTTGTCACTTAGGCAATGAACGGAAATTTTGACGGCCGAAACTTGATTGCAGAAACTTAAAAATATTAGAATACATGATTGTTAAAATTGAGAATGCATCAACAAACATGCCGTGAGAATTTAGGAAACTAAATTGGGAAACTAATTTTATTTGTTTAAAAAAGACATTCCAGGTAATGATTCACACTGTTTATAGAAGCCGTCCGATGTTGTACTTGTTTTCGTGTTTGGTTTCTAGTCAGAATGGCGTTTTATCAAAGAATCCCATCCCACTATTTCCTTCCCGGTCTTTTAGTTATTATTATTATTTTTTTCTCTGACCCTTCTTTTCCTTGGAGTATCAACTTGTCAAAGTTGCACAGTTCCGCGTTTCTAATAAATTTTGGTTGAGCCCAGTCAAAAATTGAAGAGTAAAATTTGATACTTCCCCGAAATAGATATCTTTCCTTGCTGGCTGTCCAGCTGTGATCTCGTTTGCTCTTTTCTCCACATTACACACCCAGACCTAGGTTGTTTTTCATTTTCTTATTATATATATATATATATATTCTTTTCATTTGAGCCTTATTATATTCAGTTGTATATCTTGTAGTTCATCCAATCTGCTGTTTGGTTGCTGAGAAAAGAGGACAAGAGAAAGCTAAAATTTTGGATCTTCCCTGTTTGTTGATTTGCTTCTGTGGATTGCAGTTCAGCTGAACAAAGTCATTTGATCTTGTAAAGCTCAGCTGAGAGGTACAAGATTGAACAAGAGAGAGATAGAGTATTTTCTCCGCAACTAAGCTTAGCTGCAGGTTCTTATTCGCTCTCTTTACCATTAAGCATCTTGGTTATTGTTTATTTCAATAAAAATTTGTACTTTTCAATGACTTGTATTCCTTTTTTAAATTTAGTTCATTAGTGTTGCTGCTATTAAATTGCTTTCCTTCTTACTTTATGTGCCGTTTGGCTGCTGAGAAGGTGAATTGAGATAGATAATCAGATTATGTCATCAATCACTGTGTTTTGTATTAGTACGGAGAAATATCTGAATTTGTTGACTAATTCAATTCCAGTAAGCTTTGTCCTTTCAAGGATTTGATGAAAGGAAAATCAAGATGCAGACTTTTCGTTTCATTCCTTTTCCTATGTTTTCTCAGCAACCAAACAGAAGATAAGTGAAGGGAGAAAAATGACATATCATATACGGGTTATTCTGAAATTTTTGTGGGTCCTAGCTCCAGTTAGGATCAACCTCTCATACGGGTTATTCTGTTTAGAAGAAGGGATCATTTTTGGATTATTCTAATGAGTTAGTTCATTTAACTATAATAGTTTGGCATGTTCTACAGGGGTGAGTTTGCTATCCGTTTACTTGATATAGTATGAACGGAAACTACAGCAATGCAAGTGCGAGTTCAAGCTCGAGTTTAAATAGCAGCTCCCATGACGCAGAGGATGACCAAGCAATTGCAACTATGTTGGCAGAAGACGAAAAGCTCAAAATTGATCACAGATTGGGGAAAAGGCTCTCCCACTTAGATTCCATTCCGGTATGTTCCTTACTAGTCATTATATCTACTATGTTTTGTCATCCCTGACTAAATGATTGTAAAATTCTTCCGCCTTAATGCACCGTGTATGTATGTATATATAGGTGCGGATGTTTGTCTGGTGTGAACATATGTATTTATTTGTTGTATCTAAAAAATAAGCCCATGATTGATTTTTCTGTATTGGTTGTTATGAGCGGAAACACTATTGTGTGATTTTGATGAAGCAAAGAATAAGCTAGTCCAAAATCTGCTGAGGTGATTGGTTTGTTGCAGAGTATATCTCGAAGTTTGAAACCATGGGTCACCATAACATATCTAAGTTATCTAACGCAATAAGAAAATTTCAGTGAATGGCCATAAGTATGTTTTTACGCAAGAAAATGGTGCATCTACAAAATAGTGATGTGTTAACTACTACACGCCCTTTTACACTCCAAGATCATTGGGTTGATCTTGAAGTTTCACATCTTTTTATTTTATTTTTCTTACTTCACTCAGTCATCTACCTACCTAGAGGAAGGGGAGCTGGAGGTTTCGCCTATATACGCCTTTAGACATAAGTTTGTTCTGGTGTAGTGCTTGTAGTATGGGATATGAAATCTTATTGCACCATAGATGCTTGGCTTTTGAGAACCACCTACCCCTCTCATACACAATTGATTGGTAGTTGTGTTGGAAATGAGGAGACATTTTGCTTACTACATTAAGATATCACTTCATTGATTCTTGCTCCGTTTTACCAGATGCGTTACTTACTCCTTTATCTTAAAATAAAATTATATTCTTTCCACCTACTGCCTTGAATAGTGCATAAATCGATGAGATAACCTTGTTGTTTGCTTGACTGAAAATTGGGTAGCTTCTGGGTATTGACTGGATTTATACGTGGTTCACTGTGTTTGCAGCACACTCCTCGGGTTAATGGGGAGATAATACCTGACGTGAATGATGCTACCCAAGACCATGAGCGGCTGTTAGAAAGGTTGTACTTTGTGAAATGAGCTCTCTACACGCTTTCTTCTTGATTGTTTTGTTGCAACCTTGCTACTTTTCAAGTTTCCCGAGCTTTCCTTTATTCAGGGCTTATAGTAGGGCCTGGATTAGAAAGTGTAATTTGATCATGGCTTATATTGCAACTGTTATTTTTTCAAAACTAACTTTAAGAAAACAGAAAGGATTTCTTTCATGAATTACTCATACAATAATATTCTGGTATCCTATTTGCTATATGTCAGTGAACTAATGAGAGATGGTAATCGGATGACTCATGAATTGTCGATTCAAATTATATCTCAGGGCTGGATAAGTTATTCAATAACAGAAAAAAGAAGCAAGATCTAACTGATAGAACAAATACCATCATAAATCAAATAGAAAAAAATTACATTCTAGTCTGCCCATATCATGTAAGACGTGAAATTGAAGTTGTCACCAAAATGTATGCTGTGTACTTGGGTTTGTAAATGGATGAAATGATAGCAGGAAGAATCATCTTGGTTGTAATATTTTCTTTTTGATTGATTCAGGTTGGCTACATATGATTTATCTGAACTGCAGATTGAGGGTGATGGAAATTGCCAGGTTTGGCTACAATGAATGATTTATCAGCCTATTGTTTTTTTCATTACATTTTTCTTTCACTATATAGATTGAAATGCAAACGCGTACCACATGTATGTTGTTATCATTTCATTTTATTTGTTTACTTGGGTTAAGTTGACATAAACTTTAAGTTTGCCTCATACTTTCCTTTATTTCTTTACGTGTTTTTTGTTTTTTTTGTTTTGTTTTTTTGTTGAGCAGATTAGGGTTTGCTGCGTTATGATTGATAAAATATTTGTTTAACACGCTGCAGTTTCGAGCATTAGCAGATCAGTTGTTTCGCAATCCAGATTACCACAAGCATGTACGAAAACAGGTGGTAAAGCAGGTATGGCTGATGAAGCTTCTCCAATGCATTCATTTTCCTTATTTTAGTTCCCCCCTCCCCCTCTCCTGATAGGAATTTCTTCACCTCAGTTTAGTTATTGTAGGCTTGAGCGATTAGGAGATTGTATTCTTTAGCAGTTATTTTCATCTATCAGTGGTATTGGATATGCAAATCTTATTACCTCACTGTATATGAAATCTGTGGAGCTTAATTCTGGTTTCATATTTTCTTTATATTAGGTATTTCTTATTATTTATTTAAAAATGTTTTATGTTTCAGCTAAAGCATCACAGAAAACTCTATGAAGCTTATGTCCCGATGAAGTACAGACACTACCTGAAGAAGATGAAGAAGTTAGATTTCTGTTTTCATGCCTATTGATTTTTTACTGCAAAATTTAAGATATGTTGTCATGTATCTAACTGTTACTAAAGGTTAATTCAATTTTGTACAAAATACTAAATGGAACTAGAGCCGGGGAGTGGGGAGATCATCTTACCCTTCAGGCAGCTGCAGATCGAGTGAGTTCAAATCCTCTCCTTTTACATCTGGTGCTTTTGAGGTCACTAAGTGAAAATACTTGCTTTCTTCTTTGCCTCACCATTATCGTGTCAAGGTATGGTTTAGTAGTTCATCTTATGTATGATGTAGCCACATCGGTGTCCACTTATAATCAAGTAATAGATGGGAAATTCTATTAAAAAAAAAGTAACAGGTGGGAAACAATTAAACACCACTTACATAGAAAACTTGGTCTCTAGAACCTCACTTATGATCTATTCTGCTCTTGCACCTTGTCTTCTGAGATTTCAGGTATAGGTTTGCAAAGAACTTCTTCCTTATCCATTTTCTAGAGTTAAATATAGTACCATCTGCAGAATCATGACCCGAGTCGATAAATTGTAATTAGACGCTGCTCTTTCGTATGTGGTTGTGATTTAATAGTGGTAAAATGCAGTTTTAGTGAGATTGAAGTAAAGAATTAAAAAAACATTGTTTCTTTGTATCTGTTAAATCTTTTGGTTTCTCTGTTTATTCCTATGTTTTCTTTTCTTTCCCACTTTATTTATATTGCTGAGTCCCGCAGTGGTTGCTTTCTAACAGTTACAGATTCTTCTGTAGTTTGGAGCCAAAATCTGTGTAATCACCTCTTTTCGAGATGCTTGCTATATTGAGATCCTTCCTAAAGACAGGAATCCTACCCGAGGTATATTTCATTTGCTTACTTTATCTTATCTAAATTTAATTATAGTTTGCTTTTTGAAACTTGAAAGAAAATGCGTAACAGTCAAGTTGGGCTTTTCAACACGTTCGATGGTAATGTAGTGTCAATTTTTGCATGGAACTACAAATTTGGATTGGACCTGATGCAGAACTTGATGTCAGTTTCTGTTGAAGCTTTGCATGATAAACTCAATGAGGTCCCTCTTGTTTTTGTTTCAGAGGTTTGGCTGAGCTTTTGGAGTGAAGTGCATTATAACTCGTTGTATGCAAGTGCAGGTGGTGAACTAAACCATTATTTACTTGTCCTCTTCATTTGCACCATTTTTTTCTTTCTTCTTGACGCTTTGGTCTCGGTTCCGTTTGGAGATATAATCCTCTGATTCTTTTACTAATATGTGTACAGATGTTCCGACAAGAAATCCCAGAAAGAAGCATTGGCTGTTCTAGATCTAGGGTTATTTCAAATGGTCATCAGTTTCGGAAATATACAAGTTATATATTAGCAAGTATACTATGGTCATGGGCATTGTAACTTGGTGTAAATTAACACGAATTCCAGATATTTCTTTCAAAGTTTATCTCTGTATGCCCAAAATTAGAATTTAGATATCTGTATATAAAAGTTACAAAGGATCCCCTAGCTTTTCAACGACATCGTTACCACCGGATTCTTGTATAAAGAGCATGAGCCACGCAGAAATTGAGTTCCTATTTCATTTGCAAGGTATTGTTTCTTAATTGTGGCAATGTGCTACATCTTTGAGTTCCAGAAGGAAGAGGTACGTATATTGCCAACAACAAAAATAAGTGAAAATTTTCAGTTTTATTTTTGGTGAGATTGGGCCGAAGCCTGACGACAAAAATAACAAGATAAAACTAGTTTTGCCTAGTTTTTACTCAAACTAATAGCATTAGCAGCTAGGACATCAGGGATAGGAGATGTAAATTTCTACTCAAACTAATAGCATTTCCAGATAGAACATCAGAGCTACACCGTGCGTTTATGAATTCTTTAGTACTTAATAAATTAAATCATTTGGGTGTCTTAATTAAATTTCTTCATAGCCCAAGAGTCCTATCCGTTACTATTAGGCCATTACTCGAGTATCTGTTGTCTCTTTTTGATTTTTTACTTTTTCAAAGTTATTATCCATATAAATATTTTAGCACTTTCGCGTTTAATAATGTATTATATACGTACACAAGTATTTCTCATGTTTAATACACGTATTTTTTACAAAAATTTCAGTAAGACAATCAAAATTCACGTATTATTGAATAAAAATAATATATATTTAAAAAAATCTCATTTTTTCCCTAATTGTTTTTAAAAAATAGTATAGCCGTTCGGCTATAACTTAATAGTACAGCCGCCGGCTGTACCTGTTTGACATGCGCCCCATAAGCTGTAAAGAGTATAGCCGGCCGGCTATACTAGATTCTTTTTGAATTTTCTTTAAGAAATAGTATAGCCGGCCGGCTTTACGGTCTTGACATGTGGCACCTATGCGTTGGGCTCGTCCTTTTTTAGTATATAAATAGTATAGCCGTACGGCTATACTGTAAAAATAAAAAATTTAGTATGATTTGTTATTTTGTGTTTTGTCATATGGTCAACACACTGAGGAGGTGGTCAATTGGTGAATATTGATATGAATTTCGAATAAAAAAGTATTTTCCTTTAGCCATTGCCAACACCGCGTTATGTAACAAAGATCTAAGAGAACCGTTGGCACAACACCACCGATCGTCTTACTGGCCGCCACCTGTACATTACGCCATGTGTTGTTTTACCATTGGCCACTCATTCTCCTCATTTTCCACATAGGCTTTCCTCCTGTATCTTTCCATATATAAAGTCCTTGCAAACTTCCAGCATCACTGAGAAAGTTCTTCCCTTCACTTTCCTTCTACGATTCTCGTCAACCAAACAAGAACCGTTTCTGCAGTCTTCTGGAGAATGCGATCTGCACATTACTGGTCACTCTCTCTCTCTCTATCTGGTTATCTCTTCACATTTATTTTTCTCGTTTACTTAGCTCGAGTAATTTTTTTCCCATTTTCTCCTGTGTTCATCTCGACGTGAAATGTTCAAATTTCAATTGCTCTGTTTGGTTTCTGAGAAAATGAAAACATAGTGTAGAGCGAAGTAGGGCTGAAGCTTATTTTGTATGTTTCCTTTTTCATCGAAACTGATTTTGAATTGAAATCTGTACGTGCGCAATAGTTGAGCTTAGTAGGCCCCTGTGTTTCATTGTTTTTATGCCCAAACATCATCAAAACTGAAAATGGAAGTAATTGTTTTGTATTTATTTTCTCAGTCGCAAGTTTAGAAAGGAGTTTTTTTTCGAATTATTCATCAATTTTTATTGTTGTTTTGTTCAGACGAAGTTTGAAGTCCTAGGGTTACTAATGCAATCTAGGATGGCGTCGATCTTATTCAAGCTAGGGTTATTCCTATCGGTGCTTTGCCTTGTATTTTCTCCTTCTCAATCCGCGGTGATGAGCATAGATCTAGGCTCCGAATGGGTGAAAGTTGCGGTTGTGAACCTTAAACGCGGGCAGAGTCCTATCACAGTTGCTATCAACGAGATGTCCAAGAGAAAATCTCCAAACTTGGTTGCATTTCATTCCGGTGACCGCCTACTGGGCGAGGAAGCTGCTGGATTGGTTGCTCGATACCCGGAGAAAGTCTATTCTCAAACAAGGGACTTGATTGGAAAACCCTTCAATTACAGCAACAGTCTTTTAGATTCATTGTACTTACCATTCGACATTACAGAAGATTCTAGGGGCACTGCCACTTTCAAAATTGATGATAGAGTGAGTACTTATTCGGTTGAGGAACTAGTGGCCATGATTTTGGGTTATGCTGCAAACTTAGCAGAGTTTCATTCGAAAGTACCTGTAAAGGATGCTGTAATTTCAGTTCCTCCGTACTTTGGGCAAGCAGAGCGAAAGGGGTTATTCCGGGCGGCACAGTTGGCAGGGATTAATGTTCTTTCTTTGATAAATGAGCATTCTGGTGCGGCATTGCAGTATGGGATTGATAAGGATTTCTCAAATGAGTCGAGGCATGTAGTTTTCTATGATATGGGCACCAGCAGTACCTATGCTGCACTCGTTTATTTCTCGGCTTATAATGCCAAGGAGTTTGGGAAGACTGTATCAGTCAACCAATTTCAGGTAAATTTCAATCCAATTCGAATTATTTTGTTAAAGTTCCTCTGTCCATCAATAAAGGAAAAACAAGAAACCTTGACAGTAAAAATAATCCACCAATGTGAAGTTCCTCCTTCCATGTTCCTGTTACCAAAAGAAGGCAAGGCATAACTTACTTCAGTTCTCATTTTGATTTGCAATTATCTCGGCTAATTTTCTTAAAGTTTTATTTTCTGGTATAATTTGTACATATGGTTGGATTAAACTTTAGATAAATGTTTAATCAGTTGTCTCCTCGTTCTCCATATTGTTTTTAGTGCCGCTCACCAGTGTCTTAGATTTCGCCTCACTGTAAGCTTCCTACATAACTTGTCACATTTTCCCAGGTCAAGGATGTCAGATGGAACCCAGAACTTGGGGGTCAGAATTTGGAATTACGGTTGGTGGAGTATTTTGCTGACGAGTTCAATAAACAATTGGGGAATGGGGTTGATGTCAGAAAGTCTCCAAAAGCAATGGCTAAGTTGAAGAAACAGGTCAAACGTACCAAGGAAATTCTAAGTGCAAACACAATGGCTCCAATATCTGTTGAATCCCTTTATGATGATCGAGACTTCAGGTTGATGGAATTTAAAGTGCTTTTTATAATTTTTATAATTTTGTGTTAGGTAGTTGTCCAAGGTAATATACCGAACATTATTTACATACTTACATGAGATTTATTTCCTTTTCAGGAGCACGATAACTCGTGAAAAGTTTGAAGAGCTATGTGAAGATCTGTGGGAGAAGTCACTTTTACCTCTTAAAGAAGTTCTTAATCATTCTGGTTTAAAGTTAGATGAGATATATGCAGTGGAACTGATAGGAGGAGCTACCAGAGTGCCAAAGTTGCAGGTTTGACCTATATTATTCCCTTTGCATCTATATGAGGCAGAAAATATTCTTGTATAATATGCTGTATTCCATGATGGAATGAGTAGGAGACGGAGAGTAGTCTAGGATTCACTTGGTTTTAGCTTCAGCCCATTGTTCCATCCCCAAGTAAAACCTAGACTAACCAGTAATGACAAACCTAGTATCGAATGTTAATTGTTGATTATTGTCTCTAGGTAGTGTCCTAGACTAATCAGTAATCACAAATTATTTGCTCAATGGTGCTGTCGTACATCATTTTGATATTAATGTTGTTGTATTGCATCAAATCGTCATATTGAGTTGTTAAAAGAGTGATCATGAAAAAAAATTCTCTCTTTTCTTCATGACAGGCTAAGCTTCAGGAATATCTTGGAAGGAAAGAGTTGGATAGACATCTGGATGCTGATGAAGCTATAGTTCTTGGTGCAGCATTACATGCTGCTAATTTAAGTGATGGAATCAAACTGAACCGTAAGTTAGGGATGATTGATGGTTCTTCCTATGGGTTTGTGCTTGAGGTAGATGGCCCTGATCTTATGAAAGAAGATAGCACTAGGCAGTTACTCGTACAACGGATGAAGAAACTCCCCAGCAAGGTAAGTACCATGGCAGGAAATAGCAAAAATTTAGTAAAGGGTTTCATTTAATTAGTATTTCTGCTAATTTCACTCCTTATTGTTGGTTTGTTATAAAAATAGATGTTCAGATCCTTTACCCAGAGCAAAGATTTTGAAGTTTCTCTAGCGTATGAAAGTGAAGATACTTTACCCCCTGGTGTCACCTCTCCTATATTTGCTCAGTACTCTGTGTCCAGTTTGACAGATACAAGTGAAAAGTAAGGATTTGCATTTCCAGATCCTTTCTGGATGATTTATGCTGCAATGTCTTAAAGACGTGCTAGCTGTATGTCCATGCAGAGCATGAGACGAATACTGACATCATTTTATATTTGTCTTCTCTATCTTATTTAGGTATGCGTCACGGAATTTGTCTTCCCCCATTAAAGCAAGTCTGCATTTCTCTTTGAGTAGAAGTGGTGTTTTGTCACTGGATCGTGCAGATGCTGTTATTGAATTAACAGAATGGGTAGAAGTTCCTAAGAAGAATCTAACTGTGGAGAATTCCACTAATGTTGCCCCCAATGTATCGACTGAAACTGGTGCGAAGAACTCTTCAGAAGAAAGCAATGACAATACTGAAGATGGTGGAAATAGTAACACTAACAACTCTACTATAGAAGGACAAGGTACCACGGATCTTGGTATTGAAAGAAAGCTGAAAAAGCGGACCTTTAGGATTCCACTGAAGGTATAAATGAGCTAATTGCCTTAAGATTCTTTTGTTCTTCTAACAGCTCATTAGAACCTTGTCTTTTCACTAAAATAGTTTTATCTATTGTAGATTGTTGAGAAAACAGTTGGACCTGCAATGTCTCCTTCAAAAGAATCTCTTGCTGAAGCAAAACGTAAGTTAGAAGAATTAGACAAGAAGGATACAGAGCGGAGGAGAACTGCAGAGTTGAAGAATAACTTGGAAGGATACATATACGCTACTAAAGAAAAGGTGGGAAGGTTCAATCAGCTTTTTTTTCCTTCTTCTCAGCTTAAGAAAACCAATCTTGAATGAACAGTATGTTGCATATTTCCATTTCTTACAAATACGTACGATGTTTCCAAATGTTTCTGGTTTTCCCTTTGTAGTTCAACCCACCAGAATTCCTCTCATTTCTATCAATATATGTTACCAAGGTATAGCTTGATTGGATATGTAAGAGGGCTTCACCAATGTTCTTAATTGGACACTATGCCCTTGCAATTGTGTTTTTTATTAATTTTTTCACCTATGTTGCTAAAGTATTTTTTTCTCATGGAAATGATTGCCTTCAACTATTTGTTGATATGTCTGCGACAAGCATCTAATGTTGTATTTCCTTGTTTTTTTTGGTTTGATAGGCAAAAGTATTTTGTTCTATTGCTAGTTTGTTCCTATATAAATAGTAAAATAGTTTTAGGTTATAACAATATGTTCTTGTTTCAATCTTTTAACGAAAACTTTCTTTTACCAGCTTGAAACATCCGAGGAATTTGAAAAGATTTCAACTAGCGAGGAACGCCAATCCTTTATTGGAAAGCTTGACGAGGTACATATTTCTTTCTTGCAAACCAAAGTTCGTCTTGATAAAATATATCTGACTTAAGTTATTTAAACGTGCTATATTTTTCTTAGGTACAAGAATGGCTCTACACGGATGGTGAAGATGCTACCGCTACTGAGTTTCAGGAACGCCTAGATTTGCTAAAAACTACTGGTGATCCTATATTCTTCAGGTATATTCCTATTTGGTTTGTTTAGTTTTTAACTGAACTGGGTAATATATAATTCTAGGTGTATGAATTTTTAAAGGATAAAGCTTTTGCCAAGTCAATACAATGTATCTGATCTGATGAATTCTTGGATGCAGATTCAAAGAGCTTACTGCACAGCCAGAAGCAGTGGAATACGCTCGTAAGTACCTTGTTGAGCTGCAACAGGTAAATTCAGACACACTTATTATGTATACCTATTACCTATACCTGTATATGTACCTTGTGGGAAAAGAAGAATCATATGAATTAGATAGTATATCACATGGTAGAAATTCCATTTGGTAATTTCATTACTAAACAAATAAATAGAACCACTAATAGAAAACGTGTGTATATATATATATATATATATATTTTTTAAATTTCTTTCGTTTGCAAGGGCAAGAAATGTACACCCCTTTTGGCGTGCATATAAGTTTTTCTTTCCCTGTCTGCATTGTCTTGAAAAACGACCTAAATTTTATGTGTGAAAGATGCAATTGCCATTAGGTCCATCACCCATTCAAGATTCATAGACCTGTTGGTACAATACAGTTCACACCATTACACTATCTATGAGACATAAATTGGTCTTTTCCCTCCTCATCCTTGCAGATTGTACGTGGCTGGGAGTTGAACAAACCCTGGATTCCGAAAGATCGAATAAATGAGGTGCTTCAATCAGAACTAATTTAACACAAACTCTTCCTGATTTTATAAATAGTATTAGTTGTAATAAACTTTATTTGGTGCTCTTTGATGATCTCTGACGCTTAAGGTGCGGGATATTCATGTGTGTGTTTTCCAGGTTTTAAGTGATGCTGACAAGTTGAAGACTTGGTTGGACGAGAAGGAGGCTGAGCAGAAAAAGTAAGCTATCGTCATTGCTGTGTTTATTTCTTTTAATTCTATTGAGGTATTGTTGATGTCAACTATGCATGCACATATAATCTTACATGTAGATAAGAATGATGTTCACATGTATGGCTGTAGAGTAGTAAAGGAAAATGATCCACGATGAAGGGGGGTAAACTAAAAGGTTTCCTTTTAGGAAACCTAGGGAATTAGCCCATTTCCCTTGAGATTTTCTATTTAAACCCCGCACTTCTCTTTGTTCACCCTAATACTTAAATAATTAAGCTGTAAGTTTTATTATTGTATAAAAAGACAAAAAAGGTCATCCAACTTAATAATTAACCATAGTACATCTATACACACACCCCACCACTCTTTATATTAAGTTTTAAAAACCTCCTTCCAACTTCCTGTTTACAAACTCTCTCTCTCTCTCTCTCTCAACTCAACAATACCCAAGTGTTAGAATTCCAGTTACAGTTCTTGGAGAGAGGTAAAGTTGTTCTCTTTCTCTAGAAAATATTAAATTTCAGATTTGTGGTTTCATTTGTTTGTGTTTTTTTTTTGCTGAGAACAAAGAAAATTGTGGGATTTAAATA